CCGCAGGGTGTGTAGGAAGGCTGCCTCCATCCTCAAAGATCCCACCCACCCCCAGCATGGACTTTTTACCTCCCTACCCTCTGGCCAGAGGTTCAGAACTGTGAAGTGTAGGACCACTAGACTGAAAAACTCTTTCTTTCCCTCTGCCATCAGACTCCTAAACAGCTGAGGAGTTTATTACCAGGAAATACATCATATACTGTCGACCTGTACTGTTTACATTCTCAGTTTGCACATGCATAATTGCACACTGACTGTTGACTACTGCACATGCTGCTCCCATGCAGCATACATTCTCTTATTATATTCTTACATTTTTTTTATTATATTGCTATATTTGCTGTTTAAAGTGCCTTAGATTTTGTGTTACTTATTTATCTACTTTATATTTCATTTGTATTTTGTGGCATTCATGTGGACGGGAAAGTAATAATTTCATTGTACAGGGAAACACGTTTCCTAACTGTGCATATGACAAATAAACACTTTGACTTTGACTTAAAAGAAACAATGACTTCATGGCAGATGTAAAATAAATGCAACTATTTAAAATCTTTGTTGAGCTGCCATGTGTAATTTACAGTATGTGTTCTATATGCAGGCCAAGAATGTTTCTATGGTGCTCTTGTTCACAGCTAACTACTGTCTACTGCTTTATACCAGGGTCAGAATAATAATTTAAGCATCATAACAGCCTGACCCAAGGGTCATGAGGAACCAACAACAGGCATTGGACATGACAATCACTATTTTTATCTTGGTGTGTTATAGTAAATGACCAGGGATGGTAGTCAGTCTAGCTTGTCAGAATTTGTCAGAACATCTACAAGCTGGCCAATAGAGCACAGATTGCCCTACTGTTCACAACACCTTTGGCATATTGAACTGAATCATATTCTTTAAATATCACAGTGATACAACTAGTATTAGCATATTGACTTTCACAGTCAACATATACATGATGAATGTCATGTCACCATTTTTCTCCACTATGAAAAAATGAAGCCAAAATTAACGTGAATATGTTGGCTGCCGTCTTGCTTTTTGTTACCAATTTTTAAAAATGTTTTTCCGAACACAGGCAGCACACAGCAATATCACACACACTATTCTGTGTTTTGTGCTATTCTTCTCCCATTCGACAGCATCTCTCAGGTACCAATGAGTAAGAACACCAACCACCAGCTACTCACTTTAAAGTCAGAATTCTGAGAAAAAAGTGAAAAAATTTGGAGCGGCTTTCTTCCATATTGTCCAACTGCAAATGAAAGAACCTTAACTGATGAATATTAATACTATGTTGAGGTTACTTTATAGTGCCCATGGCATGCTTTTCCTTATTGAATTATCATCTTAGACGTGACGTAAAGTTTAAAAAATGAGGTGTATGTTTGTTCTAATACATCTATGCAGAAGCAACTCGGTTTGTACACATCTTGCAAAATCTCACTCATGAGACTTTTGTACCCAACAATGTAAAGTCTTATGTGATAGTTTAAGAATCTCCTTGAATGGTTATAATCTCCAGGCAATTGTGCATTTATGTGTGCTTGCCTGACATCCACTGGTGCCATTTCAAAAGCAGAATTTTTCAGCTGCACTTGTTAATGCCTTGTTTCTGCAGAGACCACTGTTGTAAGGCTGGAGAAGTTGCATTGTCTGCATTATGCCCGTTAAACTATGGGCTTTCTCAAATACTAGCTTTGTTTCGAGTTTTACACATCTCTTTTCATTGGTACAGTGCCTTGCAAAAGTATTCGGCCCCCTTGAACTTTGCGACCTTTTGCCACATTTCAGGCTTCAAACATAAAGATATAAAACTGTAAATTTTGTGAAGAATCAACAACAAGTGGGACACAATCATGAAGTGGAACGAAATTTATTGGATATTTCAAACTTTTTTAACAAATAAAAAACTGAAAAATTGGGCGTGCAAAATTATTCAGCCCCCTTAAGTTAATACTTTGTAGCGCCACCTTTTGCTGCGATTACAGCTGTAAGTCACTTGGGGTATGTCTCTATCAGTTTTGCACATCGAGAGACGGAAATTTTTGCCCATTCCTCCTTGCAAAACAGCTCGAGCTCAGTGAGGTTGGATAGAGAGCGTTTGTGAACAGCAGTTTTCAGTTCTTTCCACAGATTCTCAATTGGATTCAGGTCTGGACTTTGACTTGGCCATTCTAACACCTGGATATGTGTATTTGTGAACCATTCCATTGTAGATTTTGCTTTATGTTTTGAATCATTGTCTTGTTGGAAGACAAATCTCCGTCCCAGTCTCAGGTCTTTTGCAGACTCCATCAGGTTTCCTTCCAGAATAGTCCTGTATTTGGCTCCATCCATCTTCCCATCAATTTGAACCATCTTCCCTGTCCCTGCTGAAGAAAAGCAGGCCCAAACCATGATGCTGCCACCACCATGGTTGACAGTGGGGATGGTGTGTTCAGGGTGATGAGCTGTGTTGCTTTTACGACAAACATAACGTTTTGCATTGTTGCCAAAAAGTTCGATTTTGGTTTCATCTGACCAGAGCACCTTCTTCCACATGTTTGGTGTGTCTCCCAGGTGGCTTGTGGCAAACTTTAAACGACACTTTTTATGGATATCTTTAAGAAATGGCTTTCTTCTTGCCACTCTTCCATAAAGGCCAGATTTGTGCAGTATACGACTGATTGTTGTCCTATGGACAGAGTCTCCCACCTCAGCTGTAGATCTCTGCAGTTCATCCAGAGTGATCATGGGCCTCTTGGCTGCATCTCTGATCAGTCTTCTCCTTGGATGAGCTGAAAGTTTAGAGGGACGGCCAGGTCTTGGTAGATTTGCAGTGGTCTGATACTCCTTCCATTTCAATATTATCGCTTGCACAGTGCTCCTTGGGATGTTTAAAGCTTGGGAAATCTTTTTGTATCCAAATCCGGCTTTAAACTTCTCCACAACAGTATCTCGGACCTGCCTGGTGTGTTCCTTGTTCTTGGCGCTACCAAGTATTAACTTAAGGGGGCTGAATAATTTTGCATGCCCAATTTTTCAGTTTTTTATTTGTTAAAAAAGTTTGAAATATCCAATAAATTTCGTTCCACTTCATGATTGTGTCCCACTTGTTGTTGATTCTTCACAAAAAATTACAGTTTTATATCTTTATGTTTGAAGCCTGAAATGTGGCAAAAGGTCGCAAAGTTCAAGGGGGCCGAATACTTTCGCAAGGCACTGTATGTATGTCGTTGTTTACATAACTATGGAGAAGTAATCAAATTAATTAATGCTGTTGTGGTTCATCCTGCTGTCCACTTTGATAATCTGGCTTGAACACGTCAGGTAGGATTTGAGGTATTGTCATTGTCGAAAATGTAACTTAGACAAGTTTCCCATTAAATACACGGTTTCTGTAGCACCCCTCTCAATGGTTGTGATTAGGATAATGTTAGGATTCAGGTTATGGGAAACATCTTGATGTGGAAACTGATTTTGTCACAACACCAGCAGCAGGAGTTGCACTCATTCACAAAATATCCTCGTTTCCAGGAGGAGACTCTTGGGTTTTATCATTCTGAAATAATTACAGACTATTTTGATTTACAATGGGTGCAAAGCTAATCTAGAGGTACCCAAGATTAAACATTAAATGCTTGGAAATGAGCATGCCATGGGCTCTTTAAGTAACCCTTTCTTGCATTACGGAAACCAAAAATTCTTGATTTTCAGTCTTCTGGGATTTTTTGTGACATCATCAGATGCTTCTTGTGAATATAAAGCCCAAAGTGTTTGTGTGTGTTTTACTTTTTCTTCAGTGAGTCACAGTAACCCCCACCTCTAATCTTGTTTCACTGATTGGACTCCAAGTTGACTAACTTCTTACTCCACTTAGCTTTTGTTGATGTCATTATCCTAGGGCTTCACAAACTTTTTCTAATTGACACTGTGAATGTTTGATGGATGTGTCCATACAGTATATACAGTTCAAGAACAATATAATAATTTGTGTATATTAATTTGAAAAAAAGAGCAAAGTCATTTTGAAGGTAACTTATTAACAACGATGCACATTTTTAGTATTGCCTTCTTAAAATAAAATACAAAAAGAATCAGTTGGCTATTAAACACGAATTGTTGATCAATTGAAAACAAACATCTTTCTAAATTTTATTATGACAGTACTTGGACATGGACAGCAAATCATTTAAAGGCAGTCCACTATTACTATTCAGTTGATTCTGGCTGATTCTGCAAAACCCACCATTATGTTGCAAAGTGACATCATTGAATGTTCTGTGATCTTCCTACCAGTACTCTCACATGGCAACTGTGTTGTTGTTAAATGGATGTAGATTTTAATCTTTCACAATTAAATAATGATTTTAATCCAAAATAAATATTTAGTAGGTTATGGTTTTGCATTTTTAAAATGTTAACAATTCCATGATGAAAAAAAAAATCATTTACATAACAAATACAGTGAAAGTTAACTACAATAAAAATGGAAAGAAAAAAATCAAATATGGTATTTTTATCACAGTGAACCTTTATGGAATAATATAATATAATGGATTAATATTATCTTGCTAAGTATTACTTTAAATAATATAGAATTGAAAGAGTGATTAGAATATCAAATATAGAAAATATAGAACCGTTTCAATCTTTGATTTACAGCACACATTCCTTTACCAAACGACACTGTGTTGGTAAATTTCATAACGCACAGGTTATATGTGTTTTTCTTGTTTGTGCTTTTTTCCACACTTGACAGCCCAGCTGATCAACTTAATGTCTTCCTTGAATACTGGCTAGAAGTCTATGAGCATTTGTGCCACAGCGAGCAACGTTAGTGACAAGACTGCCAGTGAGCCCACTGTGTGGTGTGCAGGACTGCTTCCAGTAGGTGTTTGTGTTGGCTCTGAAATATTAGAAAAGTATTAGTCAGTGAAATTCTCTTGACTCAAAGTAACTTCAAAATTCAAAATGAGGCTGAAAGGGAAGCTATGTCCCAACCTTGAGCTCTCATCATCTATGTTTAAAGATTGTCAGAGAATGAAAAATACGACATTATCATGCAATTAAATATTTAATAAACAGTATATTTAATAAACACAAACCATTCATTCATAATAGCTAACTTTTAAATCGCTGAATACTTACGTGCAGAAACGCTGTCTTTTATAACAGTCAGGACTGTAGACTTGGCAAGCTCAGCATTGAATTGTTGAGATACACTGTTTGGTGCAGGAACAAAGTTTTTATCTGAGAAAATAAGTGTCATATCGGGGACCACTGATCCACTCCTAAAGTCACAAAAAGAGAGAATGCAACACTTTGTAAAAGCAAGCAACTGGTACATGTCTAACAAAAACAAGTCAGCCAATGAAATGCAGTCTTACCTGAATGTCTTGAGGAGGCTGCGACTGTAGACACGTCCATACAGTAATGCACCAATTCTGTTTATCTGAAAGCACCAATGCACAAGTTAACTGTTTATCCTTTATGAATGGGCTGCTACTAATGTGTGAAAATGAGAGTGGGAGACACTCTGGGATTTGAGCTGAATCTCACTTTATGGGCAAACAATGTCTCGTGCACAGCTGGGGACAACTCCAGCAATATTTAATGGTAAATCCACCAAGTAGGTTAGGTTTTTACCAGCATTTGTTGCTTTGTTCACAGCATGTCTTGAGGAGGCTGCGACTGTAGACACGTCCATACAGTAATGCACCAATTCTGTTTATCTGAAAGCACCAATGCACAAGTTAACTGTTTATCCTTTATGAATGGGCTGCTACTAATGTGTGAAAATGAGAGTGGGAGACACTCTGGGATTTGAGCTGAATCTCACTTTAGGGGACAGTGATAACTTGCCACCAATGAAAACAAAAATGAACCACCTTCTGGCTTCATATGACAGCAGTATTTAATTAATGGACAAACAATGTCTCGTGCACAGCTGGGGACAACTCCAGCAATATTTAATGGTAAATCCACCAAGTAGGTTAGGTTTTTACCAGCATTTGTTGCTTTGTTCACAGCATAACTGAAAAAGTTTAAATGGATTTGAATGGAATAATTTGGAGAGGTAGGGTACGGCCCAGAGAACAATCCATTATATTTTGGTGCTGATCTGGATCATGGTCTTGATCCAGGAATTTTGCTTCTACCTCCAAACACAATGTCTAGAATTCTTGGACAAAAGTTGCATTTATTCACTGTATGTATTGTATAAATGTATGTATTCTTTCATGTAAAGGAGACCGTTTAAAATAGTAGGGCAAATTCATAATTTGTCTAACAGGATATCAGGTGTTGCCCAGAATTCTTAAGCAGTGATGGCCATAGGGTGGTGTGTTTTGTTCTGTTTAGAGGCTGCCAAACAGCTTCACCTTCATTATCTGCATTTGCTTCCAAGATCAATAGTAGTTATGAGAATGTACTACAAAATATTGAGCAAATTAAAACAAAGAGGAGAAAGAGGAATTCCAAGAATAATATTTGCTTTGCTTCCCATGAAATAATACTGTTATAAAATGAAACATCAATTTGTTTGAAGTAGAAGGGTTTGAGTCTAGAAACACACTGTTATACTGTGTAGACATGTTACCTCTGTGATCACTTTTAGGGATAAATCCTGATATTCTGGTGAAGATGAGTTGGCGAGTTCTGGTGTAAATGGCTGGTTGAGATGAAACGTAAGGCCAAGGGTCCCCTCAGTGGCTGTAGGAGGATCTGTTGATGGAGGAGGTGGTGTTGGCTCTGAAATATTAGAAAAGTATTAGTCAGTGAAATTCTCTGGACTCAAAGTAACTTCAGAATTCAAAATGAGGCTGAAAGGGAAGCTATGTCCCAACCTTGAGCTCTCATCATCTATGTTTAAAGATTGTCAGAGAATGAAAAATACGGCATATTATCATGCAATTAAATATTTAATAAACAGTATATTTAATAAACACAAACCATTCATTCATAATAGCTAACTTTTAAATCGCTGAATACTTACGTGCAGAAACGCTGCCTTTTATAACATTCAGGACTGCAGACTTCTCAAGCTCAGTACCGAATTGTTCAGATACACTGTTTGGTGCAGGAACAAAGTTTTTATCTGAGAAAATAAGTGTCATATCGGGGACCACTGATCCACTCCTAAAGTCACAAAAAGAGAGAATGCAACACTTTGTAAAAGCAAGCAACTGGTACATGTCTAACAAAAACAAGTCAGCCAATGAAATGCAGTCTTACCTGAATGTCTTGAGGAGGCTGCGACTGTAGACACGTCCATACAGTAATGCACCAATTCTGTTTATCTGAAAGCACCAATGCACAAGTTAACTGTTTATCCTTCTGATACGCTGGTGAAGATGGGTTGGCAAGTTCTGGTGTAAATATCTGGTTGAGACTAAACGTAAGGTCAAGGGTCCCCTCATTGGCTGTAGGAATATCTGTTGATTGAGTAGTTGTAGGAGGATCTGTTGATGGAGTGTTGGAAGTAGTTGTGGCCGTCACGTTAGAACCTGCCGTAGGGCCAGTTGTAGCATTAGGGGTGGCAGTCTCATTCGTTGGCTCTGAAATTTTAGAAAAAACATTAGTGAAATTCTCTGGACTCAAAGTAACTTCAAAATTCAAAATTAGGCTGAAAGGGAAGCTATGTCCCAACCTTTAGCCCTCATTGTCTATGTTTAAGATTGTCAGAGAATGAAAAATATGACATATTAACATGCAATTAAATATATAATAAGCAGTATATTTAATAAACATAAACCATTCATTCATAATAGCCACCTTTTAAATCACTGAATACTTACGTGCAGAAACGCTGCCATTTATAACATTCACGACTGTAGACTTGACAAGCTCAGTACTGAACTGTTCAGATGCATTGTTTTGTGAAGGAACTGAGTTTTTATCTGAGTAAACAAGTGTCATATCGCTGACCACTGATCCACTCCTACAGTCACAAAAAGAGAGAATGCAACACTTTGTAAAAGCAAGCAACTGGTACATGTCTAACAAAAACAAGTCAGCCAATGAAATGCAGTCTTACCTGAATCTCTTGAGGAGGCAGCGACGGTATGACTGTCCATACAGTTTTTTACCCACTTTGTTTACCTGAAAGCAGCAATGCACACGTTAATTGCTTATCCTTTAACAAAGAGGTTGCTACTAAGAAAGCCACTTTCAGCTTTTCCCGTTTAGGGGTCGCCACACATGAATGTCACAGTGACGACTCGCATGTTGACATTTGGCACGTGTTTTACGCCGGATGCCCTTCCTGATGCAACCTGGATTCGAACCCGCTGCGCCTTAACCACTAGCCTACCAGGGACGGCGAAGAGGTTGCTACTAATGTGTGAAAATGTGAGTGGGAGACACTCTGGGATTTGAGCTGAATCTCACTTTAGGGGATAGTGATAACTTATCATCAATGAAAACAAAAATGAACCACCTACTGGCTTCATATGACAGCAGTATTTAATTAATGGGCAAACAATGTCTCGTGCACAGCTGGGGACAACTCCAGCGATATTTAATGGTAAATCCACCAAGTAGGTTAAGTTTTAACCAGCATTTGTTGCTTTGTTCACAGCATAACTGAAAAAGGGTTGTCGAGTTCTGTTGTAAATGGCTGGTTGAGACTAAACGTAAGGCCAAGGGTCCCCTCAGTGGCTGTAGGAGGATCTGTTGATGGAGTGTTGGAAGTAGTTGTGGCCGTCACGTTAGAACCTGCCGTGGGGCCAGCTGTAGCATTAGTTGAGGCCGTCACGTTAGAACCTGCCGTGGGGCCCGGC